CACCTCTTGGGGATCCAATACCCTTTTCTGGCCCTTCTGGTCATGGACATACATGCCATGCAGGCTGTTGAGACTTGGGAGGCTGTACTACCAGTTTCAAGCCAGCCTGAACTATTGGCAACATCCTTTCCCCAAAAAAGTTACAGAGAACTAAAGTAAGTGCTTAGGCACCCCCCCAGTTGATTATATCTATTTGAACAGACCCTTAAACAATAGCTTAACTGATAACTGTCCATAAATAAGGCAGAAACAGCCCTATATATTTTCAAACACTAGCATGTTTTTAAAAGTTTTATTCTAAGTAAACTCGAGTTCTGGTACTATCTGGTCTCTGTCACCTAAATGATGCTGATCTTGACTTTAGTTATGTTTTCTTTCAGTTTCTTTATTAGTTAGAGTGTAGCTATCCAAATGACTTGGTTTATGGAATAAAACTTACCTGAGGAATGAAATGTCTGAAGCACAAAAGAACATCAATCACTCTGCAGGCTGTGTTTTCCCATGACACACAATAGCAACCTGTTTTCACTGGACGAAGATTTTGAATGGTTAGTTTCTGAGAAGCTGTTTCACTTATTTCACACAATTATATTAAACAAATGTGCTTACCTGAATTAGCCATCAGGATGGGTTATTCATACTTTATCGACACCCTCTAAAAACATTTATCCCCACAGAGAATTATCAGCTTCACTTGTTCCCTCCAAAGGAAGAGCATACTGGTGGAATAGGAACATACACAGAGTAGAATTGAGGGAAACATTTGTGCCTATCTAGAAAAGTCGAAAGATTTGTTGTGACCATGTAAAATTTGACCTTGATATTTTAGGCAAATGGGACAAAATCAAACCAGATCAAATCAAAACTAGTGTTTTGATGTTCTTGACTGAAAATGCATTTTTTTTGTACTTTATTACCCTCCCATCTTATATCGCCAGTCTACGTGTCTTAAACTTTATGTCCGTCCTCATTTCTGCCCTCATGGATCACCAACAAGTCTACTAACGTGGAACTTTTATTCTCCTGTCCTTGCTGTTTGTCCCTGCAGGTATTAAAGTCAGCACTTCGGTTTTGCTCCTGCTCCAGTCCCCTCCCCCTAATACTGGAAGCAGGGCTTTGCCACGTTTTACTGTGTGTCTCTCAGGGACTCTTACAGCCCACTAGACACATCTTACATGCGCTATCAATTATATTGAGAAGACTTCCCTAATTCAATATGTAGACTTTTGAATCCAAGAGTGATGCTCATGAGGCAGGCACCAGGTAGGCAGTTAGCAGGGGTGGTTTTGTCAATATATCCATCACTTTCTTTCAAATCTGTGCTCCCAGATTTTTCCAGCTTCGCGTTCTCTAATATTTTTGATTCATCATTTTTCTTAGTTTCTTAAGGTGAAGATATTACTTTATAAAGTTCTTGTTAATTCTATTAGCCATAAAAATCAGAACAAAATGAATTAATAAATATGAAGCATTTAGAAGAGTAACCATTCTGTAGTGTTTCTTTGAGCTGATCATGTTGTAGTCTGTTTTTACATGCTTTGTTTCAAGTCTTGCTTTCAAGGAACACATAGACATTCCTTTTGGTGGCAATTATTGAGTATGATCAATGGTCTGAAGTCTGGCCTCTGAAAGAAAGGTATTGACAATAAAATTATATTTCCATAATTCCAGTATTTATATTCTTAGTTGTAGAAAGCATGACTTTAGTGCATCTGAAATTGATTTGATGTGGGAGTCTACTCTCTGTGCTGTGATTACCATTAATGAATAAAGAAACTGCTTTGGGCCTATAGCAAAGCAGAATTTAGGTAGGCAGGGAAAACTAGGCTGAATGCTGGGAGGAAAAAGGGTGGTGTCAGAGAGATGCTATGGAGCCACTGCCAGAGTCAGACATGCCAAAACTTTGCCTGTAAGCCACTGCCACGTGGTGATACACAGATTAATAGAAATGGGATAAAGATGTAGCCAATAAGAAGCTAGAGCTAATGAGCCAAGCAGTGATTTAATTAATACAGTTTGTATGTGATCATTTTGTGGCTGGGCAGCCGGGAACGACCAAGCAGCCTGTACTACAATGATTAAGTTTAAAAAGTTAAAGAGTTAAAAAGAAGTGACCCCAGACTACCTCTCTGTTTTGTAAGAAAGACGGTATTATCCTTTCAGATATGCTTCTAATTCTTAGTGGTAGTACCATAGTGCTGTATCAAGTTAACTCTTTAAATCCCAGAACTGGAGTTCAGAGGCAAGGAAAGACTAAAAGCAACCTCAGCCCCACAGAGTGATGGCATATACAAGGGCTGGTTGTGAAAAGCCAAATGGAAAATTTAATGTTGGCTCAGAAAACTTGCCTTAATGTTTGATAAAGAGTGAATTGCTAGAGGCGTAAAGGATGTTTTAATAGTTCTGATATGAAGTGCCTCCTGTCCCCTGAGAGCCCATGTAGAACGGTTATTTTTTAGGCAGCAGTCCTATTTTGGGAGATGAATGTGACTTTGGTAGATAGGGACCTCGATGAAGAAGATAATTGTAAATGAGCACTTCCTGTCCTGACCACCAGGTCCCAGATGACTGACTCAGAGGCTTAACATAAACTGTAAATGCTTGGCCAATAGCCCAAGCTTATTACTAACTAGCTCTTACATTTTAAGTTAACCCATATCCCTTATCTATGCCCCGCCACATGGCAGTACCTTTATTAGCATAGCCTATCCATCTCCTTCTCCTTCTTTATCTGGCTGATGACTCTTGACTCTGCCCTCCTTCTTCCCATCATCCTTTGTTTGGCTTTCCTGCCTAATTTCCTGCCCACCTATTGGCCTCCCAGCTGTTTACTAGCCAATGAGAGTAATATATATTCATAGTATAGAAAGTACTGTTTCACAAAAGAGTACACTGTCTAATACACAGGTATTAATATTTTTTAAATCAAATTCAAAGATTAAAAGAATGCAGAGAGAGCTGTTGTTGTTTTCTTACCCCCCTCATATAGCCTGTGTGTGGAGATGTTCAAAAACACAGATACAGTCATTCTCTGTCTCCTTAGCGTCCATGTTTTGGGAATAGCATTTAATGGAAACTGCTGTTTTAACCCTTATGGGGTCTATTTGCAGTGATTGCTTGCATTTCATCCAACCCAAATCCCAGTGCCCCCACTCACCTCTCACCTTGTTTCCTACTTGTCCTCTTCCTTGTCGTTCACATCTTCAATCCCGATGCCAGGAACATCCTTGCTGTCCACAATCGGAATCATTCTAGTTATTTTGGATGAAATTTCTGAACTGTAGCAGTGGAACCAGAGTGAACAGATATCATGAAGGGTTTTCTTTCTGAAGCATTCTTTGGTTTAAATTTATAGCCTGGTTCTGCCAGTCACATCATGGCCCATAGGTAGGAGTGACAGTCTCTTACTGTACAGACATGATGATTATGCTGCATGTTCAGGTAGTGTTTTATGTAAAATACTAATGTCAGTTTCTAGAGACAATACCTGCTATGTCATACACATTAATAAATCATGATGCCAAGCTCCTGAGAAGTAAAGTTTTTCCAGATAAGAAGAAATTTCTTTTAATATCTTTTATCATTTAAAAGGTGTTTATTTCTTCCCTAACAAGTCTCTTCTTCAACCAATTCAAATGTGAAGGGTCCAAAACAGTCACCAGTTTCTACTGTGGCTCTTCATCTCAGGGGAGACTTGACCAGCACATAGGGAATGTGGACAGGGATCTCCAGAAGCAAAATCTTGCCCCTCTCCACCTCCATCTTTTAAACTCTTATATTACTACCCATAGAAGTAACTAACAAGTAAAGTACCTCACAGATTCAAAATTTGCCTGTTGAGAGACTTACAGGAGCCAAATCTTCAGACAACAGTTTGTGGGAAGGGACCCGAGGAGCTTCTCTATAGGTATCCTTTGCTGTATATTCCTCTAGTCAAGACATATGTTTAGCCAGGCTTGGAAAACTAGGCTCACACTGCTACAATAAAACATAGGGTGAATACTTTCCTATTAGAATTAAAAACAACATAACGATGTAGAAAAAGGTAAAACCATTTGGGCAATGTTTTTGTAGACTCAGTGCCTTGGCATATAATACTCAAGCATTGCATTAACAACGCATTTGATTTGTTGGTCGTTATCTCAGAGATCATGACTCAGTAAGCCTAAACATTCGGAGCCATCATAACCTCTTGCTTACTTTGAAGAGATTGGCAAAAGCTCAAACAAACAGATACAGAACTCTTAACATTGTTTTCTGGCTTCATAGAATTTTTCACATTAATCCAGATTAAAATCAGTAAGTGGAACTGACTGTAAGGGATCCCTGTGCAGACCGACTTAGAAGCTGGACACAACTCTTTGTTATGTCTGATCAGACCCTAAGATGGCACCGTACAACATTTCCTGTGTCGTGATACAGGAGTTGAATCATGATTACACATACACATGGGGTCAGTTTCCTACAGATAAATTAGCAGATAGGGTTTCAGAGTAGAAAACAAAAAGGGTTTACTGCAAGGATCCTTTATTGCAGGGTCTCCTGTGCACTTAAAATGTAATTTGATTTATACACATACAAAAATCTTATTTATCTTTGTAGGAAGACAGATATATGAAACCAAATCTATAAATATATAAGGGAGAAGAGGAAAGAATTCTAGAGTTGGGTAAGTTGAGAACTGGTGCTCTCAGTGTCCTTATAGAATGACAGCCAACTGTAGACCTTATAAAATGTGAACTTAACTCTGATTTAAAAAATTAAATATAGATGCTTTTTGACTTCATAGTAGAATCTAGTGCAATTCCCAGATCACATTAAAAATAACCTATCAGCCTTCTGGTGTTTGTTTGCTATTAAATTTTCCCAATGTTTTCTCCCACTATATTTTTCAAGCCAAAGCATGGTTGCTGGTGGCTAGCCTACTTCACCCTTGTGATGATATCACAGTCTTTAAGGCATCAAATCCTGGATCATTTGTTATTGGCATCCCAACTTAGGAGTAGTGTAGTGAGTTCATATGGTAATGGGTGAAGTTGGAACCTTTAACGGTTATGACAGTTTATCTGAATTCTCACTGCAAAGCAAACCTATCAGGAACTTAAGCCTGTTCTGATTGTTTGTATCAATATGAGCAGTTCCTCCAGGCTATGATATGGACTGTGGCAAAAACTCAGTTGGTAAAGCATCAGATGTACAAGTCTGAGCACCCATGTAAGAGGGCTAGGTGTGATGGTGGGAATGCAGAGCAGAGCAGATCCCTGGGGGTTTGGTGGCTAACCAATCCAGTGTCCTTGGCTTCTCCTAGGTCCTAGGGACTGACTTTGTCCCTAATCCCAGATGGACAGCTGCTGAAGAATAGCATCCAAGGTTGATCTCTGGCTTCCACGTGCGCGTGTGTGCACACACATACAAGCACACATACTCACACGCCCCTACACAAGCACACATCTACAATGTTACTAGATTTACTCTGAGAACTGCTTGACACCTGCCAGGCTCCCTGCGTCTCCCCAGTCATGTGCTGCTTGTCCAAACATCTGACTTTCCTCCTTCCAGCTTATTAACAGTTCCTACCAGCTCTCTGTTTTCATACTTTCTGTTCTTATTTTTGGCATTTAGTTTGAGAGATGGTATCTGTCCTCCAGTCAGGAATAGTTAAAACCAAGTGTATTTTTATTCCCCTAAACAGTTTATTTTAGAAAATAACTCTGCAAATAAATTTACAATTTCCAAGCAGTTTGTGTAAGCAGACAGATCTAAGTTCAAACTGGGTTATGTTTGTCTTGAGTGTTAAATTTGGCTTATATTGCCTTCTAAAATATAATTTGTATTAAAAGTCTTGCTGGTTTTATGAGATTTCTAGGACATTCAGGAGGGGACAGAGATGGAGACGATAAACCCCAAAATATTCACAGACTGTCATATCTTTTAGTATATGTGTCTATTTAAATAACTGATGTTTTATCTTTATTATGAGAGTTCTTTTAAAAAAAAATCATGACTTAAAAAAATCTTCCCAAAACACAAAATGAAAGAGAAAATGTCTTCCTTGTTAACTCTGAGTCAAACATGTACTCAGTTGAAAGTACTATCAGCTCTGCATTATGGATTTTTGCAACCACTAGCGATCTCACTGTGGGGTGGTTCCTCTTTTCACCCTCCTGATTTCCCTTTGCACTCTGGGGTCTTCTTGTCTCACATCTTGGCGTGCTGATCTACACATTCACAAATGACCTTGTATATTAAGAAACGTGTGGCTTGCGGTGCTTCTGAACAAAGGACCATCACGAGCAAGCCTAGATCCTACTCCCTGGGCTCACATGGTGTACAGACGTCTGAGATGAATTAGAACTTGCTAAATGACATGTCTAATTTCTTTTGTCTGTTATCTCTGGGAGTTCTGTGGCTCTGGCCAGAGAGAGGGAGCTTTTCGCATAATGGAAAAAACAACCTCTGGGCTCTGAGAGCTCTCAGCTCTGTGTCCTTGGATGCGTCTCAACTTATGGGGCATGAGTGTGTCTTCACAGGGTTCTTTAGGATGGCAGAATGAGACAAGTCACAAGATTTGTAAACCTTAGAACCCTGTCTGGCTTTACCGTATGTTTCAGCTGCTGCTGCTGTGGTAACTGTGATGGGTCAGACTCTAGTTTGCAACCCAACGACCAGACAAACAGCTTTTTCTAGTTGTTTAGTTAGGTGAGCAGCAGCCGCGGAGGGCGCACAGGGGTCAGGCAGGTGGTTAGAGGGAGACATGGGCAAAGAGTAACTCTGACAAAGAGAAGTTACACATACAAGTTTTTGATACCAATTAGAAAATTTCATATGTGTGATAAAGATTCAATTCTATTATTCTACCTCCTGTTCCAGCAGAATTTAACACCAGCTACCTCCACCCCTGACAAGGCAGAACAACACAAAAATGACATAACCTGATGTTTTTTTCTTGTTTAAAGACCTTTTGGGCATAATGCCAAATGTTAAATATCTCCGCAGTCTTCGTTTGCTGGCTTCTTACTGTAGCTGAAGGCATGGGGTGCTCCCTGCTACAGTTCCAAGATGATTGCTCCCATTGGTAGTTCACCAGAGAGAAAGTGAAAACCTTTAGTAACATCTGATAGAGGGAGCAAAAGTGTACTTATAGGAGTGTTTTCTGGTAGGTTGACCTAGCTCTAATTGAGGGCCCCACACGTGTATATGGGCAGCAAAAGCTGGACTCAGAACATTGTGTGTGTGTGTGTAAGGGCTTTGGGGATGCAGGCAAGGATAGATCTAGGAGAGCTGGGGATGTGTTGGGGGGGTGAATATGATCAAAATACACTGTATGCACAGATGAGATTCTCAAAGAATTTGCAAAAATGATATATTAAAATGTTTAAAGAAAGTGCTTTGCATCAGGAAATGAAGGGTATACATTTGTAAGGCTCCTTTGGAGTCTTAAGGTTCTTTTTTTTTTTCTTTTTTAAATTATTTGTCAACTTGTGAAGCATCTGGGAAAAGTTTGAAGGTGCTTAGTTTTACAAATTAATGCTTTTTTTGGATCCTTGGGAGAATGACTTCTAATGAAAAAGTTGCAAATAACATTTTGGTTTATATAATAAAATTCCATTTGATTCCAGACTCACAAAGAATAGATTTGTAACCCAGTTTAAATTTTGTTCAGAGCGAAATCTCAGTGTAAGGGATCAAGAACAATCAGGAAATACATTGCAAAGAAACAAGAAACTGGAAAACAATTAAGATTCAAATTAGACTTAAATAACAAAAATATTGAATAGTAAATAACTTATGCAAAATATGTTACAAAATCTGGGATGCTAAATATTTGACACAAGTACCGTGACATTTGTAGTTACATTAAAATTGATGGTTGCTTCTTCTTTTATTTTGCTTCCCCCCTCTTTTTTCCAGCAGATAATTGTTTATAATTTTGAAATTCTTCCTTCCTAGTGTTGTTCTTAAATTTGCTGTAATCAGTCTGTGTGAAACTGTGTGCATACAGAAAGTATTTCTTAAGAGGAGGTAAAAAATTAAGTTTAACAACGTTTTTCACTCCCTGTTTTTCTCTACCATTTTTGATTGGTTTGACCTCTGTTAGACTGATGCTTTTGTCCTTTACTTCTGATGTCATGAATATTGTTAAACCATGAAAAACAATGCTTCTCTTCACATAACAGTGATTGACACTTGCAGTTTTATATCCAAACATTCAAAACTATGTGATTATCATGGACAAACTAATATTTCCAACAATAACCTGTCAGGTAGACTAGAGATAGAAGTTGTCATTTCAGCTGTGGAAAATTCAGGTTTTCTTAATTTGATTTTAATTTAAAACGCAATCATGTAACCAATATGTGATTTAGATTGATGTCTAACATCACTTGCTAATTGTTTTGGATAATTTGTAGCTAAATCCCCAAATGAACAGCATGAACAAGGGAACTGTAGACTGTTACAGTCTATTCTGTAGTGAGTTTTCTCCACTAAGCACATCTATACTGAAAGAACTAGATTTTTAATGTTCTTTCTTGGGTGTGGTACACAATAAGAAAAATTCTGTATTTTTCCTTTGAAATATTCCCCAAATATAGTTTTACCTTCTAAATGAAAACTTGCCTTAAGAACCAGGCACGGTTTGAAATGACTTGTGGTTATTTTTAGATAAAACCACTTTGGGTTAATTAAGAGAAAAAAATTGCTACTGTACAATTATACCGTGTCCTCCCACCTTGGTCTGACAAGAAGGAGATGTAACGGAAGTTTTCTTTGTCACTGTAGCTGCCCTTTGAAGTGTATCAAAGTCTGTTGCTGTGGTTACGACCTTTGTTTCTATTGATGTTTGGTCCATGCTTTCCCCTACCCTTAACAATGGCTACTCAAAAGAATGAAATAATGAGTCATTCATTCGGAAATACTTTGTTAAAATATCCCTCTTTATCATTACATTTCACTGCTTAGAAACTAGGCTGTAATTCAAGGCAACAGTTAAGTCTTAGAACTGTTAAAAAAAAATCTGATTTTTTTCATTTATAAGAAAGACCTGTCTATGTAATTGAAGAACCTCTTACACGTCTGAACAATTAAAACCTTTTTTGGTTAATGTATTATTTCTGGAACAAGAAGATAAAATTCTATGCAGTAAGCGTGATAATGATAAAAATCGTGCATTGTTCGCACAGCACAGGTTTTAGAGTCAAGGTTTCTGGGCACAAACGCAGTAACAAAACAGCCCCTACAAAACCGAGTAACTCTCAAGAACACAAGAAATAATGTTTGTTAATTTAAAATTTTAGAAACGGAAAGGTGTAAAGTAAAGCATAATTAAATTATGGTACTGTACATACCAGTTGTTCCTAGAATTGAAATTTTATAATATGAAAAAATACATTAGCGCTGTACAATTTTTACACATAGGTAGGATGAGTTTTGGAAAAAAATGTTTTTTTTTCAGGGCCATTCTCTGTCAAAGTCAAAAAAATACTGCACAACTTAGCTAGTTACAAAGTATAGACTTGAAACAATTCATGTCTTCATTTATTTCATGAACCAATCTTGGAATTTTGTTTATTTGAACAGGGAACTTTTTGTTTTGCTTTGATTTTGAGAGTTGCAATGAACAAAATTTCCTCTCTCTGTGGTTGAGGTTACAGTTTGGTAGCAAGTCTGGGCGACCGCTTGGCTCGGTCAAGCCAGCTGTGGTTTATGGTCACTGATGCGGCCAGCTGATGTGATTGTGCTCAAGTCCAGCTCAGTCTCTAGGTGGCTTTCCATCGTGTCTTCCTGTGCGTTCGTTTCAAAGGACTTATGGGAGAGAAGTTCATGATGGACCCCACAGTAACTTATTGTGGGCTGGTCGTATGCCAGAAAGGTGGACACATTCATTGATAAAGGTATCTGGGGAAAAAAATGACATGAGAAAAGTCAGTTATCAAAAGACAGGCAAGCATCCAGGGCAAGACTTGGAGACTGTGAAGTGTGGATCTGCCTATGCTTTGTGCTTGTTTCTGTGGCTCGGCGGTCCCCACAGTGTCCTGCTCCTGTCCCCCGTTTTCACAGCAATGAATTTCTCAGGCTTGAAGGCCTGAGAGCTGCTTGAGTCTTAAGTAGAACCTGCAGGTAAACAGTAGCTTCCATGGTTCTAAAAATGATAAAATTTATCTTCACCGTAAAGCCAAGAAAATGGTTTTCTCTTAACTAGCCTGAAATGTTGTCAAACTAAGTAAAGTATTATTTGGTTACTTATGCAATTAGGGTTCAGTAGAAAAGTGATCCCATATCTTCGCTATGAATCAGCACCACAACCACCCCGACTTCTTCACCCGCCTGTCCCATTGTCCTGCAGGTTTCTAATGTAGTGGATTCTGATTTCTTACCAGTTTCCCGGTGATGAGGGTGCAGTTACTTCTCACACCTTGCTTTGAGGAGTGTTTTAGAAGAGAACCGTCAAGTCCTCCAGGCTATGTTTACTCATAATCCCTTAATTCTATTTCATTAAGATTGGTCCTTGAAATGTTCAGCTCTATGGTTTGTCTTCCTATCTAAAAGAGCACGAGAATGACCGGAACAAAAGAGACAGATAACTCCCATAAAGGTCTACCCAGCTGCAAAGCATGAAGCTACTTTGAAGGGCTAGGGGTCCAGCTGGGGAAAGGGCTTCTCTACTAATCAAAGACAGCAAAAAGCTGTGAGGCCAACAGACACACCTACAAAGATTATGGACAGAAGGGACACAGGTTAGAGACTACAGCAGTCTCAGGTACAGTCAGATGCCCAAGTCTAGAGGACATTTCTGCTTATATTCTTGGTGAGACAAAAAGTTTCAGAAGCACTGAGGAACTTTTAGCCTCGATCTTACTTTGTCTGCTGTGGTACAGACACTGTTTAAGGGTCCTCCAAAGCTTAAGGCGATGACAGTCACACTGTGATGTACTGAGATGGTAGGAACAACCTGGCTCATGATTAGAGCTGGGCTTTCCGGGAACTGAGTAGAGTTAGTCAGTCATTAGAGTACGCTTCTGGATGTTGAGTCCTGTGGCTTTATATAGGGAGAGACAGAGATGCAGCAGAGGGAGCCTTAAAGGGACACACACAGTCCCTGACTCTTACATTTGAAGGTCTCTACTTGACCAGCAAGAAGGCTATTGGCACATGAAGCTTCGAGACTTTTTACCTCTGGAACCCTTAGTCCAGATTAAACACCTTTATTTGTAACTCAATCATCTCCCAGTGTTGTGTTACTGGCTCAGAAAACAGACCACTATAATTGCTCATTCACGTTGCTGAATTTCTTTGAATGACAACTTGTAGCATTCTTGTTTGACAGATGGATAAAATGTCTGTGCGTACGTATCGCACTAAATGCCGCTCTGGCCTCAGCTGAGATTAGAGCACGAAGCCACGTGAGATAGAATGCCGAGTCTTTATTACCTGCTTCTTTACTTTCTGCCTTCTCCTTTCCGGGAACACAACTGCCTCCACCTTCTCCAGCCCTGACCTCTCAACTCACATTTGTCTCTCCTTTCATAAAAAGTGCTGTTTCCTTATTTCCTCTTTCAGTACAAATATTCTTTTCTTTGAGATCATTTATGCTGAGTATTTCAATGTGTCAAATGTCTACGTCTCAGTCCTGGAGATAGAGGTATGATCTACTTCACCCAGTGAAACTCCTGTGCAGTCTTTCCTAGCTTTATGGAATTCTGAAATTTGGAACATGAAATTATATGGCACGTGAATGAAATGCAAACAGAAGTGGCCTATGGAAGGCCACACAGAAGATGCATAGCAGTAAAATAGGATACTCATATCTAAAGGCTTCTCTCTCTTATAAATGAGTTAGCTCTGATAACTAAAATGCTATCGTGCAAAAATAGTTGTGCAGCAAGAATATATTTAAGCTATCGGAGAGAAAAGCTTAGAATCATTATTAGGTACATAGATTCACATGAACTTCTGGGAAATGAGGACTGGGTGATGAGCTGCGGTCACAGTCTGCAGGACTGCAGTTGTTATTCGCCATAGAAATGCATCCTGTGCTGTTGACAAGAAACCTCCTGGTTCACGTGGAGTTAAGTCCACTGTGAAGAATCTGGGAGGCCCATGGGTAAATTCTGGTACACAATATGCCATCATATACTTATAATCTGTGTGTTTTTATGCACACACACATTTTCCTGCTGCGTGTAGTATCTAGAGGCTACTGGTCTCTAGAAGGCAAAAATCTTACTTTGAATCATAGCAATTAGGTGGCTAACTCTGATTACATATTTAAAAATCCTAAGTTTTTCTTATTGTTGAGTATTTATTATTTGATAAATCTTATACGTGGATAATGTTTCAATGTCAGGACATATTTGCATTTAACATTTCCGAATTTGGGAGAGTTCTTAAAAGATGTTTATATTTTTCCTCTACAACCAAAAGTAGATCTTAAGGTTAATGAAATCTTATTATCACAAGAAAGACATAGAAAGATTATAGCAGGGAGGAAAATCTTATAGCTTACCATCTGGCAATATGTCACAGATATTCTTTTCAGGTTGACTTAAATGGTTTTGAAAATAGAAGAGTTAGTATTGGGTATACATATATATGTGTGTGTGTGTTTATACATATATATGCATTAAATAAGTATATATTTACATGCATTTGTATAGATGTAGATATGCACAATATATACTTATATACATATATTCATGATCTAGTAGCTAAAACTAGTGCTTCAAAATCATTTAAATGAAAGTCTGACAAATAAATTGTAAAGATACATTGGGTTAGATAACTGTAACATATTTGTGTTGCCAATGTAGGGTATATACACATATCTACAGATGTATATAAATATAGTATTAATATACATATGTATATGTATTTAGTAACAAAGGTTTTCAACTTGAGTTCAAGTAAACTTTTCCTGAATTATAAAAAATTTTCCCTGGCCTTTTTATTGGCAAGGTAAGATAATTTTTTTTAAAAAAAATTATATCAGTGTGTTAAATTTATTTGTTTCTAAATTTCTTATTCATAAACATTTCATACATATATGAATAACATGTGTCTTCTCTATTGACTGATCAGATAGGCAAAGATACCTTGAGCCCTGTTCATATGTGAGGTACCCAATGTTATTGAACAGATGAAGTGATTCAGGAACTTAGTAAAGTCACTGATTTTCTTTTTAGTTTTACAAATTGCATTAACTTTCAAGTCTTCAGATACTTACTGTAATTTTTAATTAAAGCATATTTTCTTTTTTTATACGTGTGTAGTGTGTATCCATGGGTATTTGTGTATGAATATTTATGTAATTTTGCATGTGTGGAGGTATGTATTGTGTGAAAGTGCATATGAAGTCCCAAAGTTGCCATCAAGAACCCTCTTTGGTTGCTCTTCTTTCTTATTCATTGAGTCAGGGTCTCTCAATCAAACCCAGAGCTTGCTGATGAAGCCTTGCTCTGGGGATCCTCTGTGTCTACCTTCAGAGGCTGGAAACTATGCCCACCCAACACTTATGTGGATTTGGGGGATTGAAAGTATCCTAACTATTGAGACATTTCCCTAGATATTTACTTTAAATGTGATTGCCAACCTGTAGCCATGTTTTTTCCTTATCACTTATAATATGAAAATTATTTTTTCTGATTCCCCATGAAAAGTACTACACATATTTTTGATGGATTTCCTTCTTCATACCAACATCATAAGATGCACTGAATACTTCATTGATGTGTGATACTAGATCCTTAAATGAATCAAAGAGGGAAAGCCAGATGCAAACAGTATAACATGCTCACACTTCAAGTAATAATACCAGACTCAATACTTCCATATGTAGTACTGTGTATATTGGGTTTTTACCAGAAAGAGTGTTTGTCTTTACCTTCTCATGATGAGTCAGTTGCCTGTGAACACAGCAGATCGGAGTAGAAGGGAGCCTGATTCTTTTGTTCAAAGGATCTAAAATACCAGCATGTAAAAACTGCATCGACTTTTGATGTCAGGTAGAATGCTGGATGCAGAGGTTTAGGCAACTACTGGGGCTCCAGCCATCTGTTCTGACTTTGTATTCCATCAGTGGGACGGATTCTTGTACTGCAGTGTGGCTGATGGTTGAGTGGTGATGGAGAAACCACCAGCTGGCATTAAACAAACATATACTGGGAGGGTCAGAAGCAACGTATACCAACCCCATCTGCTACCAAGTACAGCCGGGAGGCGTCTGCAGTTCCTTCACAGGCTTGTCAAGTGTGACCTTTTCCTTTTCTGTTTTCAGATTGACCTGTGTGCCTCCTACCTCACCTTCCCTCTTTTTTTCCTCCCTTTCTCCTTCCTCTCTATCTCTTATTTTCTGTCCTTCACTCCCTCTCCTTTTCCGTCTGGGTCTTCTGATATGCCCCCCCCCAGGGGGCTTCAGGTATTCAGTAGTGAAGTGCTGGTAAGTAAGAAAATAAACAGAATTTCCCTGGTTCCCAAGTAGCTAGTGGAAATGGTTCTAGGAAGGGCAACAGGTCATTTAACTTTAATAAGTTCTCCAGAACTCCAGCTAGACTTTCCACAGAATCTTCTCTAAAACATTGAGATTCTTCCTACCCTGTCTTTGAGAGAACAGGTTCTTTCACTATGTTTTTACCGATAAGACTCTCAATTATGATTACTTCAAGTTTCCTTTAATCCCTTAGGTCACTGTTTTCTAAGTGAAGTGGTTATTATTGGGATATAATTCGTGGAGATTCAGGTATATGAAAACTTGCTTTCATAAAGAACCCGAATTAAGGAATCATGAAGTGCTATTCTAACAAAGAGCTCTGTTTAGTTACTTAGGCGATTTCCCTTAGGGAAAAAAATACTTTAATTCCAATAAGTTAGTGTTATTTTGACATCAGTGCTATTTGCCTTAG